CGACTTGAAGATGTGTGGAAACTCCACACATCTTCAAGTCGCCAAGGTTGAGGAACCCTGTGATAGACCATTGCTTCAGTTTCTTTAGTCTGAAGAGGTTTTTCTCACGTTTTCCTACAAGTAGAGACTGTTACATCAAATTCAGTTAAAGTGTTACTGACTACTAGATCTATTCCCTAATTGTGAAAGAGCATCTTCTGTCATGGTAACTTATTTTGCCATTGGCCAACTAACATTCAACTTTTTTCTCTCTTTTTTTTTTTCTGCCGCTTAATAATGGAGCAGTAAACCTGACAGGTGAGATAAATTTTCAAAAAACTTGCTTTCCGTTTTCTCAGAAAAGGGAAAATGAGAAAACAGTTTAAAAAGTAGCTTGTTTGAGTTTCCAAACAGAATATTTGTCAGTCTAAATGAACCCAAACAAATGTACTGTTTGGAAAGGGAGGCCAACCTGAAATTCAAGACAGTCTTCCCCCCAAAGGAATAGAAAACATATAAAAAACAATAAAGGCAACTAAAAATCCTGTTCAGTGCCCAGATACCCATCTTGTCAACTTAAAATTAAAACTGAAACCAGTCCTGGACACCTCTCTGCCCTGGTAAATATGTGCATGTAACACATTAGTACATGTTCATACATATTCATATATTTGTTTGTAAGCCTGCTAGAAGCCACACTCAAAAAAAGAGAGGGGCAAGACAAAACAACAAACAAATTTACAGGGATTGAATTAATAGCTGTTGATTAAAATTAATGGCCTGTAAAAGTAAGGTATTCCATTTATAAAATTCATTGATATCCCCTACTATATCATCCGTTCCCTCACATACACAGGCAAGTACACACACTCTTGCTTCCCTCCTTCCACCAAAAGCAGCAAAATAGAACCAGGAAAAAAAAAATAGAAATAAGGTAGATGCAGTGATAAGGGAAATGAAGAGAAAGAAGCAAGCAAAAGTACATGGAGATGAAATAAGTCAACAGGGAAGGAAGCTATGTTTAGCCTTTATAAAGGGTATTGAAATTCACTAGCTACAGAGCAAGGATGAGCCCTCTCCTCCCCCTCCAGTTGTCTGGGAACAGCTATCATATTCTCAAACGTATCCCTCAGTATCAGAAGACATTTGAACTTCCTATTCATTCACTTTTTCAAACACATCTTCAGAAAAAAGATTACCTCCCCCAATTCACAATATTTTGAAGGAAAACCTTTATCTCACTATCCATTAAATATGGCATAAGAAGTCAAGATACCTTAAATAACACTCGGCACAGAGATTCTTTTCTTTGAGCTTGCTTGTAAAAAAATGTTCAATCTTACATATTCACTTCTTTTTTTTGGTATTTTTAATGCTAGCATAAAATCAATTGCATCATCTTAAATAAAATGGCATAATTCAGAAAATGGAGCCAATAGTTGAACATGAACCAAAATTTGTTTAGTTTTTTATTTAGAACTGTTAAAGAAGAAGATTCTTTTCTTAGAAATAGTTTTAGAAAAGCCCCAAATTAAAGCTTCTAAAAGCCTTGGGATTGCAGTGATCACTGAGCTCATTCCAGAGAAGGTTAAACATGCACAAATCTCATTGAAATCAGTGCAGTTTTAACATTTAATGGTAGTCAGATTGTTCTTAATTTTACAGTATTCAGGCAAGTTTCATTTTTTTATTGTCCTAGCTTCACCATGCGAATTTAAATACATATAATGTGTTTTGTAACAGATTATTCTGTTAACATAATTGCATAGTTCTTATTGATTCTACAGAATTTGATGTCTCTGTTGATCTTTTAATATCCTTAGCTGTACAGGTAGTCCCAGGTTAAGAATGAGTTCTATTCCCAAGGTCTGTCCTTAAGTCAAATTTGTACATAAGCCAGAACAATATTATTGTATAATACTGTATAGGTCGTATTGTGTAATTAACTTGAATCATTGTGTATTTAATTTGAATCATTGTATATTTAACTCAAATTTTGCTACAGTAGCCTCCATTCTTGACTATGAGTCATGCTTAAACCGGGCATTCTTAACTCAAAGACTACCTGCTTAGCAAAAAATATATTAGAACAAATATATTTCTGGGTTTCTAGTGTTGCTTTGGCAAGAAGGGCAGTCCTATAAAAATAAATAAAGTCTTGATTAATCATATTAATGATTGTATTCACTTTGTCTATGTAGGAAAAGGGCAGACACAGACTCTAGAAAGAACAGTATCCCCAACAGTAAAGAAATTCCTTCACATCATCCCACAGATCCAGTAGAGCTACGACGCCTTAATTTTCAAACTCCAGGTAACTTGCAAATGCTCTATTTTAATTTTGTAAACAAAATATCACCATAAGTAATTTTGGTGTTCTATAGTTTAGGAGTAAAATACTGTATGAAAAAAAAAATACCTTTGAATATGTTGCTTCTGTTGATTATTGAAAATTCAATTTTAAACATTTCTCTACTTCAAATTGTGCTTCTTTCCTGTTGGGCTCATGCTAGTGAGTTGCACCAAATTAATCATATTTCTCCTTTAATTAATGTTATTTTTAGAAGCCCATAGTTATGAGATAGGCTGGTGGGATATTTAACAGTGTTCATAAATTCAGGATAATCATGTCCTTCCTCCCTCAAATGTTCCATGTACAGTCTTAATTAGAATCTCATCTTGATGAGGATTTGAAATTCTTAAACATGTACAACATCAGAAGGAAGGGAAAAAAGCCAGAGGTAATAGGAAAAACTATTGAAAAGGCTCAAGAGAAAAAGGAAGTGGTTAGTTAAGAAATAAACTATGTTATACCTGCATTGCCCTTCATACTGTGTAGAAATAGCTTTCTGAGTACATCTTGTAAATTATGCTTTCTGTACTGAATTAGTAGCATTGAATATATATTGGGTATACATAATGTTAAAGGCTATATTGCTTCTCTTATGCCCAGTTCTCTGTTGGAAATCCATTTACTCATGCATGCTTATCACTTCATTATTTGCCTGTATGTAAACTACCATCATAGATCAAATCCTACAGGCATGGCTTTTATGTTATATTAAGTTAACCAAACAGTACACACACAAAAGAGGTTTGAGATCAACTGCCTGACCCATGCAGCTCAGTAATGCTGCATGCAGCATGTACTCTGGATTAAATAATCCAGAATGCACTTTATCTGCTGCACAATGAAAGTCCTGAGTTTAACCTAAAATATGCTTCCTGAGAATTAGGATGATCTGTCTTCTCAGTTTCTCAAATTTAGTTTGACTCTTTAACACCTTTTACTTTTAAGAATATAAAAAGAGTAATGAAAACATGATAAATGAAAAAAGGTAATGTAAAAGGAAAGTAGCCAAAATTGCAACAGATTATTTGATGAAAAGCATTGCACGCATCTGAAGAGCTGTCAGAGGAGGTTGGAATTACTGCAGCTCTGAGTTTAGTGATTATTTCTGCAGTTTTCTATATTTTATCTTACTTTACTTCCCTATAATAATTTTCAAGATGGCAGGAAATTAACATAATTTGAGATTTTTAAAATCTCAACACGCTTTGAGACTTTCTGATGGGAAGTAATATACAAATGTTTTGAATGAGTAAATCAACACAATGCCTTCTCCTCAGTCTTCCTCCATACAGCATCACTGTGTATTTAACATGTTGAATTGGAAATCACTTTTCAGTCATTTAGAAACTTACTTAACCAACATATGAAAAGGGAAAAGGAGAATGAAGTCAATAAGTTCTCCTCTGTTCTTCATTTTCACAATAAGCTTGTTAAGTGTAAAGGTTTCTCTGTCCATGATGTCAGTAGGGAAAAGATCTAATGTGCTTCTTCATTCTCTCACTCTTCAGAAGTCAAATTGTCAAATGAGTTCCTCATTCTCTTCCTTGAGAGGAAGCCTCTCAAAATTTTGGAACATTCTGTGAATTGAAGCTTTTTCATTATTGGAGGAGCAAATCTGGAATTAACCTATTATAACTGAAAATCACAGAAATCAGTTCAAAAAGAAATAATGCAAAAGTTAATGCAGGTGCTAGGAGAAGTAACCACAATGTTTTAATACTCTTACATTTGCAGCACCGAAACTGTAATTTTATAAAAAAAATTCAAAAAACAGAAAAGAACCAAAAGCAAGGCTCATTTGTAAAATATTAAGACAAGTTCATTAATTAGTAACCTATTCTTCCTAATCCTATTCTTCCTATTAATTAGTAACCTATTCTTAAATCCATGTCAAATCAACACATGAGTAGTAGGATTGAGATTGTACATATTGTTCCTGTCATCTCTTGAAAGTTGTCTGGCCTAGACTAGATGCATACAAAAAGCCTGATTCAAATGTAAGCTATGTCAGGGGAATGTAATTCTTGCCATCTTCCTCCTGTATTTTCTTATCCCAAAGCCTTTATGTTGCTTGATCACATGTGAGGTGTGATGATTCCACCATTTCTCTTACCTTTCTTTGTTTCTTCCAGGCATATTCATATGCAAATTCACTTGTATACAAGCAGATACCAAAAGATATAAAATGGGGTACATACATGGCAGATTTCTCACATCCTACAAATCACTCTATGTAATTGGAGAACTGACACATGCCCACCCTTCTCTCTTACTATGGGGAAAGACATGATGAACACTTTCTCTGGTGCCAGATTTCCAGTATCATGGAGTTGATCTGTGGGATCAGCTAAAGAGTTAGTTAAAGAGTTACTCCACCCATTTCTCTCTCTCGTTAAAAAAAAAAAAAAGTCCCCCAACTGTCAAAAGAGCAGTGCTGAACAAAACCAGAGGGAGCAGCCAATGCTGCTCTGACATAGGAGCCTAACAGGCAGGGCCATTTTTTACCCAGGTCTGGTGGTCTTTCAAGAGATGAAACTTCTAGACACATGTATATAAGCAGCCTAGATAATACCTGACTTGTGCATTGCAAAGCAACTGGTCAGGCATTAAGCAGGCAGATGTCTCTATGGAAGCCAGATGTTCTCACTCTCTTGTTGCTGCCAAAACTAAAGTAGCCATTGAAGGAGCTCCCCAGCAACCTGAACGGAAGGGAGCACCCTTGCAGCAGCCAAAAGTGGCCAATAAGAGCTGGGTAGAACCCAGCCACTGCCTGTATCAGACCCTGGGCTATGCACAAAGCATTGCTGATTGTTCATTCAACATAAAGAGAGAAAGTTGAAGGTGAAATGGGCCGGGGAAGAGTTTAAGGCAATATCATGAGGATATGTTTTCTGAAAATAATTAATAAGGTGCTTTATCCCAAGAGATGGTATAAAGTCATCTTCAGTGAATCTGTTCTTAAGGTGTATATGCTTTCTTAGGTTTGTTCCCCATGGGAAGCTGAGCAAATGTGAATATTTAGCATCTTTAATTCTTGGGATGAATGGGAAAAATGTTGCTACTGCTCACATGCTCTTGTTTGCATACAGCATAGCTTCTTCATGTGCATTATAAAATCACCACTTTCTTCAGAAACATGCACCACACAAGAATAGATGTAACTAGTATACTAGAAATACAGCAGCTGAAGAGTGCTGTATCTCTAGTAAACCTGAGCAAAAGGGATACTTGACAATGAAATCTGATATATGCATGTTTTTGCTGTTGTTTGGCTTGAACCAGGGCTACATAATTTCCATCTCTGGGTTGTTTGATTTCTTTTTTCCCCCATCTCTCTTTTAATATAATCGGGCAGTATGGAGGGAAAAAAACATTGGCATATGCTGTTCCACCCATATCTGTTAATAAAAATGCTCTTAGGATACATTAAGTCATGCAAATATGCATCAACAGTGGATGCTTTCCAGATTCATAAAATAACCCATCTGTATTCTATAGTATTAAGTTAAAATGGACTCTTGATATGCAGAAGCCCATTACCAGCTGAAATTTCTTGACTGTGTTGAGGACAGTACTTGGCCTTCAGATGCAGTTGTAGCAAAAAAGCAAATTCATTGTCAAACTAAATAAATATAAATTATATTCATCTGTATGTGATATGTTTTAGAATGTATAAGTGATAAATAAACAGTGGGGAATGATAGAGGGAGGGAGGGAGGGAGGGAGGGAGGGAGGGAGGGAGGGAGGGAGGGAGGAAG